CCCCCCCCCCCCAAATACCCAAAAGAAACAACCCACCCCCCAAAAAAAACAAACATAAACCAAAAAAACCCCACCAAACAAACCATCATACATTTCCTCACTTCCTTTGTTAATCAGAAGGGCTACTGACTCTCAAATCAGAAGCAGTTCTTCACAGTACATATGAGGGGGATCTTATATCCCCGCACTGAGACTACAAACACAGGCAAAATACTAAGACAAAAGGATATTAAAATATGACAACATTTTTGAAGAATATCTAGTAGATAGTACTCAAATATTCTGTAAGCAAGCCAACCCAATGGTATGCTGATCAGCAATTATTTCTCATCTGGGATGAAGTAAATAGATATATTATTTACTATTTGTTACTCTACTACCAAGGCAGATTTAACAAGTGAAAAGGGACACTTTTAGGTTAGGATTAGTAAAAACAAATAATATAGCATAAATCACCGTGTGTTAATCTTCACAAACTGCAAGAGTTGAACTTACCCATCACAGGCCATCAACCAACAACCCACTTTTAGTATGAAATTAACACAATTTTATTCTCTTTACAGTTACATATTTCTTTATTCTACTGAAGTTACATTGTGACATCAAAGACATTGATTTTAACTCTTCTCTAGAAAAGAATTCGAGATTAAAGTGCAAGTATATATGGGAGAGAAGGGGAAATAAATGAGAAACTTGATGTACAGCTGACACCAAAACAGCACTGGAGCAGAACACTGCTTTTCTTCTCGCCATAAAATACCGGAAAACGGAAAAGAAAAAAATTAAACAGAGAACCTTAGAAGATGTATCTAGATCACAGATCTTTCCAGCCTAGAGCTGAGCATAATATTACTACCTCTCAATCTTTACTAGCTACCAAACTCTTAAGTAGCATCTCCTTCTTCTCCACTTGTTCCAAGTCTGCATGAAAGACAACGTAATACTACTAATCCAAGTTACTCTACTAGCTCCAACAGAACAGCTAAGCACAATGAGCCTTGTGGATATCAACAAATAACTCCCAATTCTGCTATCATTCCTGAAAATGATGGTAAGATGCCATATTCTAATTGGTATATGTTTTTAAACAATTTAAGAAGTTACAGATAAACATCCTTTAAGATGAGGGTGCAAAACATGTTTTAAAAAATGAGGGCACAAAAAATTATGGGTACATGTGGAACTTTGGTCAATCTCTGTACTTGTACTATTGTGTGCTATAATTTAGCGAAAATGGATTAGCATGGAAAGTACTGGACAGAAAACATAAGCAAGTTGGTTAAAATAATAGGATTACAAAGTATTAGGAGGTAGACAACAGTATTCCAACTATAATTAAGAAGATGAAAAATACAAAGCAGTGATTAGATGATTTTTAGAAATTAAATCAAACCCCAAATATACATACTCTTTATGTTACTGTAGAGAGTACTGTATACTGTAGTATAAAAATTAAGACACATGGACATATAGTCTGAGGATAATTTTTCACTGAAAGGGCAGCTGCTGTAATACAGTAGTAAAGCCAATTCTCAGTATTGCCATTTCCAGTCAAAATCCAAAAATACAGGTTGCAACACTGGTCTACACTCATCACCAGTTTCTTATTTGGAAACAGTAAATTCACAGCTCCTGCCTCCTGGAACCAATGTTCTGCTTTAAATACGAAACACTAATCTTTGGTTCCTCCCCTGAGAGATAACCTGAGATTTGACAGCATATCAATATTTGTATTTTTCTAGTTTGTCACCTATCTTCAGCAAAACAGAACAGAACAGATGGTTGAAAAAAATCCTAACCTTCCAGGAGTATGAGGTTTTATTGTTGGTCAGATTTTACTTCATTCTAGGTTAGAAAAAATATATAAGAAATTACATTAGTGAAGCCCTTCAGCACTGTAATAATTCTTCTCATATTCCGATTCATCTCTCTAGTATTTATATCCAATTCTTCTCATTATAAGCACTATAAACTGTATTAATATGAGCATTCATTCTTTTAATCTCAATTTGGTTTATATAATTGCATGTAGACTTTTAGAGAAAGGTGTCTTATTGAAGTCACGAACAAATGGATATTCTCGATTTAAAAATATTTTTTCCATTATATTGCTCAAAACAGTAGTGCAGGTGGGGCTTTTTTCCCCCAAAATACGCAATTCAGAAATTTTTATTAAGAGTTGAAGCACCATAGTTTCCTAAGAGTATTCTTTGCTTAGAATAAGTAAACAACAGGATAACTAACAGATCTAAGGGCATCTTTACTAGACTAAGAAAACCCATGTGATATTAAGACCATCTGCTGCTGCTGGAATGTTTTGTTTAGAATACCTTGTTTTAGAGATCAAACTATTTATTTTACTTTCAGAGCCATGTGCATATAGGAGCCATTCACAGAATGTCTATTTAAGAACTTATAGAAAATTACTAGAAGAAACCAGATTCAGATGCTTTTTTAAAAGCCAACTTTCCTCATGAGATTTTTTTTTTCCTGTTGTATTTGTCATGTTAATGTGACAAGAGAAATACTTACAATAGGTTCATACACAAGTTTAAAACATCAAGGCAAGAAAGCCTTAAGCGAGGCTCTATCATCAATTTCAGACTGAAGTATTAAATATGACTGGTTTTCTACAATAACCAATTCATATACTGCATTTTAGCTGAAAGGACCAGAAATCAACCACTTTAAATGTGCAGTGGTTTTAATAATAGGAATTTAACATAATCAACCTCTTTGTTCCCAAATGAAACTATTCCAAATTTAATATCTAATTTAAATTGGAAACTACTGACAATTAATTGAATATAGAAAATAAAAATACACAATGTTGCTTACTATGCAATTTAGACCAAATCTGAAAAATCATAGTAACTTCAGAGAAACTTGTATGCAATGTAAGTATTAGAAAAGAACTGATGTGTTTCTGCTCCATCTGTTAAAGTGCTTTAGTAGACAGAATGAGATCTAGTATCAAACAACCAGCTGTATGCTATGCCCAAATGCTAGGAAGTCTTCCTAGACAAGAATTTCCATCCACTTAAGCAAAAGGCAGAGATGTTCTTCATTTCCAGACCAGCACTCCTCACTCAAAAATCCTGTTACTCAGCTTTAGAAAACTGTGAAATTCAAGTCAATGCATTTCAAAAGGACTGGTGATTTGGGGCACAGATATTTGTGTGCATTGCAACTCCCCAAAAGCATCTTTCAAAGAATCTGATTCAGCATTTCCTCTTTAAAGGTGTCCCAGAAGTACGATAACCCAAGATGCCCACAAACACATATGGGATTTCTGAAAAACTTGTGTGGTGTCACCCAACACCAGAAGGAACAAATATACCATCTCATGCCCTTTTCTGACCCACATCCTCAAGCATCAGCATCTACCTTAAGATGACAGTGCCAGTGTAGTTCAAGCATATAGTACACCAAAACAAGCGTAGACTAAAGCCCCAGATCTGTTACTGTCACAGCTGATCAGTTTTCAAACAGCTCCAACTCTAGCCATGATCTGTGAACAGCTTGCTAACCTGAACATAGCTGATGTCTTCCTGAGCATGTGGGCTGGAAGGCCTACTCAGTTCCAAACCAGAAACACAGAATAATTCATGTTGTGAGGGACGTTCAAGGGAGCATCTGGTCCAATCTCCTGCTCAATGCAACACTAACAGACCAGGTTGCTCAGGGCTTTGTCTGGACCTTGAAAACTGTCAAGGACAGAGATTTCCGAGATCTCTGCAAGTAATCTACTCCAACCCTTGACTATCCTCATCGTGAAAAATACTCCCATTTCAATTTATGACTGCTGCTGTGCAGTTTTAAGTGCACTTGGCTCCACCCTCTTGCTAACTGCTTAGGTACTGGAAGGCTGCTGTTAGGTTCCCCCAAAGCCTTTTCTTTTCCAGGTTGAACTTGTTCAACTCCCTAAGCCTCTCATCATGGAGTATACACCCCAGTGTATTTTGTCAGGATTTAACATTAACTGTAAAATTAGTCATTTTCTTTTGCTCACCTTTTGTAATGTGTTAAAGATAATACAGAATCTCTAAGCAAAAAAGTATTGAATTAGGACATTTATATAGTTCCTCATTAAAATACTCTGGAAACAGACTACAGAGAAGGGTAAAACAACTACAGGTTTGTCTCAGTGACATTTCTCTACAAAGAAAATAAACACTCAGCTGGAAGGGAATGCATTCTGCAAGTATTGGGAAAACCTACTAAAAAAACAACGCTCTTGAGAAAGACAGAAGGAAACCTTATGTCCCAAAACAAACCACATGGAACTACTCAAAAGAGGAGGTGCCAATTATTTCATTAACACTTGTCAAGAAAAACAATCAGAACAATAAGGTTTTTTTCAGGACAAAGCGATTAATGCCTCCCAGCACATTGTGCCAGTTCCATGTATCTGATACTGCAACAAAACTGAAATTCATCAGGGGACACACAAAAAAATGAAGCAGAGCTTTAGAGAGAAAAATTGTCATTTGAAACAAAACACCACCAATTAACTACATAATTTGTAGAATACAACCAGTTTTCAAGCATAGACAGTTCTAGCAATTCACTTTGATAAGAGCTGATAAAAAACAGCTCAAAGTCCACTTTCCTTTTGACTACTATGGAAAGTTTAATTAATTCCAATGTATCCATTTGTTCACAGATGATTTTAATTTAAACTGGTATTCCTTACAAGGCAGTCACTGCACCATGAGATAATACGTTATTCAAACCCAAGAAAAGAAAGTTTACATGAACAATATATGACTTAAATCCATGAATTCCCCATTTTGTAAAGGTACGTGTGTTATTACTTACAGAGGAAATAAAGAGAAAGCGTCATTTTTATGTTTTTGAAAACTTCATTGAACTCTTACAATTTTGAAGCTAATGAGGTTTGTTTGCTTTGTTTTATTAGAAAAAATACTCAGGCAAGGTCTACAATCATCTGTCAATTATAAATGACTTACAAGAAACTCATGAAGCCATAAAATTAAAAAAATACAAATACAAACTATATCTGAAACACTTCTATTTGGCAATTTTATAACAAATTCAAAAAAGAAACAAAGATTACGGATTACTTTATAGGTACAGAAAAAAGCAGTAGGTGAAGTGCTCAAGCAAAAAAATCCAAAACACTGCATTTTGTTCAAAAATAAAGTCACATCACTACAGATTTTATGAATAATACCCTTATTAAACAACCATTCCAGAATATCTTATATTAGTGGTGCTTTTAATCTGCACTTCATTTGTTTGATAAGATTTTTTTTGTGTATATAAGTAACATTTTTAACCCGTTGGAGCTAAGCAAGACTTTTGTGTCAGTACCAATGCAGAATGCATTTGTATTATATTAGGATATGCTTACTTCTGCAACCAAAGGGTTACATTAAGTTTTATTCTATTTAATAAAATTTTAGTGTAAAAACTGCTGGTTATTAGTTTCACTGTAGTAAATTCCTCCTCAATAAGGAGGACTAACTCTGCAGTTTGACTGCATATATCCATACAAATTTTACATATTAGTTCCTTCCAACAGTAAGGAAAAAACTAATTTCATGTTCACTATTAGAAAGGAGCGCCATGAATTAATTATGGGTACTATTCATCCCTCTAAGATTTCTGGGAAGGATGTTCAATGTATTTTTGTTCTTATAACAGATATTAACAGTAGTATATAGTCCCTTAGGTATGTAAAAGAAGGTGTTTTTTATTGTTAAGGAAGGTGCTTTTTTTAAACAATTCTTCTGGCAGCACTAGTGAATTACAATATCCTTCAATATTATTTCTACCGTAATATATACATTTTTAACTTTCATGCCTCTAGAAAAACATCTACAGTACATTTCATAATATAAAAATATATTACAAATCTGCTGAAATATTTACAAGCAATGTCCTATTATCTATATGCAACATTTTTGTCTCCATACAAAGACTAACAGGTTAGACACATCTCTATTTGTCAGTTAAAAAAATCCATGGCTTCTTGCTTATTAAGCAAGAAAATGATTTTACTTTCCTTTTCAAAGCCAACTTTGGTGCATAAAGGATTGATTTTCTAGATTATTTTTTTTTAAAAAATACCATTTTCTTTACATCTAGAAAACATTAGGGCAAATAAAAAAGTATACTTTACAAGTGAATGGGGATTCTAAAGGGTGAAAAAAAGTAAAATAAAACACCAGTAACACTAACTGTTTAAGCAGAGGTTTTTCAAAAACCATCCATTGATACAGATCACATAAAAGCAGATCTCATTAACATACTATACTACTCCTGAAAAGGGTCAGACATACTGCAACACTCTTAACATCTTTAAACCGTACTACATGTATTCATAGTTGAGTGGAAAAGACAAGCATTCCATCAACATTTGTTTAAACATTATAATTCAACATATTTTAGGGATCTGCAAAAGGACACGAGATTACAAATGACGAATGATTACTATCCACCATATTCAAAGGGCAACTGGATAATCCCTTGGTAGCTGTTTTATTGTCTGGCATGTGTTATATTTGGTTAACATTGACAAGAAGCCTAATAGCTTGTTAACAGTTCTCCTGGGAATTGTGAGTAAATGGTGATGGTTACTTTTTCTTTTCATCAAATATAAACTACTGTATTCACTAAAGAAAAAAGCAGCTTAAAGAAGCAAGCATGCAAAGCCTTTTAGTTGTTCCACTAAGTTGCCAGAAGAGTGTTTGCTCAGTCTCCCACTGTACCATTCCATGAAAATGTGGATATACAGTAATATATTAATATATTCCACGGAAGCATCAACTTCATTCACAGAATGTTTACACTAAGCATAAATATTTAACTAAGAAAAAAAAAAAAAGGATGGGATTTGACTAATGTGCAACTTTATTTCTAAATCCATTGTCAGTGACTAAGACTGCAGGTGTCCCCACTTGATTGGTGTTTACCTCTTCAACCTCTTCTGGGGCATTGTTCTGTAAAAGAAGATAGTACAGTTTTACATAGAGACCCTGAGATGTAAATTTGAGTCAGCTATACTATGAAATTACAACTACATAAAAACTACTTTAATTTAATTTGATTAAAACTGAAAGCCATTTTAAATAATGCCATATTAGTGTACATTTGAGATAATTTTTTCAAAGTTTCTACTGGAGTCATCACTTTAGCATGACATAATAGCTGTCACTGAATTTCCTTAGCCAGTCTTTTCCCTTGCAAATATTGGTCTTCAACTTTATTTCTTTGATCTCCCACAGTTGGTCCCAAAGCTCTTCATAATCACACACTAATCTATTGTCTTAAAATTTAGTACAACATTGTGCAAGGGGACTTTAATTTTATTTGGGGAGGTAGAAAGGGTTGCTCAATTTTCTCCAAGGACTTAATCCCAAAGATCATTACATTTTTATTTTAAAAGGTTGGGTTTTTTTTCCTTTTCAAAACAAACTAATCTATCAAGTTCTGCAAAGGTAATCAGTATAAAGATGATTAACACCTAAATTAGATTATAAAACAGTCACTGTTTTAAGCAGTTTTAAAACACACAAATTTCCTCATAACATTTTTATGATTTACTGTTACCATCAGTAATTCATATACTAAAGTAAGTATTTTAAATACTTATATTTACAAAGATAGCAAATATAGTATGGTGATTTTTTTCACATTGTAAACCAAGTTTTCATTAATTTGATTAGTGAAATACATTGAATATTAAAGGTGAACTGAAAGGCTTATTGCCGTATCAAGACCTCAGATTAGCATTCTAGTTACTCCTTTACACTCTAAGTCACTGGATGTTAATGAAAAAAATAAAAAAGGAACTCTGAACTTCTGTTATGGCAGAAAAATTATTTTTTCTGACCCATTTTAATGAATTTTTAATATAAGTCCATAAATATATATCTTTGGAGATCAAAAACTTGAGAATGGATTAAGCATTTCAGATTACCTTTAAAAACTGTACACACACAGAACTGTGGGTACTGACAATTATGTGAGCACACTAATTAAGGGGGGGGGGCAACAACAACAACAACAAAAAAATCAGGAAATTATTAGAACAAGATGGATTAGAAGCCAATCTGAAGTCCTAAAAACATAAATGTGAATGCAGCTTAAAGACAAGTAACATGTACCTTCCCCCTTCTGTCCCCCTCTAAAGAATCTTGTATTAAAAAATAACAGTACTTGTATACAAGTACAGATTTCAAGGTAATACTGCATGTATTACAGTTGAATATAAAATATGTAAAGATAAATTTGGACTTTAAAAAAATTGGTATACAAACCAGTATGTGATCTTAACAGAAGTGATCTTTCAGGATTCCACTGTATGTAACTCCTTTACTAGAATTTCTGTACACCAAGCACAAAAAAGTAAAATACACTTGGTAAATACACACATTCCCCGTTTCTCAGTAACTAGAGTTCAGTTCAAGAAGTTAAGTAATTCTGAAACAACTTAAGACCTCAGAACTTAACTCCTGGACGCTGACAGGATCGAGGCTCCCTGGTCTGGTGTATAATGCATTAGCAGTGCTGATTTTCCAACGTCAAAAAGTTAAGTGAGGCTTAAGGCTATATTTAAGTGAAGAAAGTTTCAAAATTAGGACATTACCTGTATATGTTTGGGTCCAGAAGCAAGGCAGTATCTTTTGGTAGTTTTGATAAATGAACTACCTTAGTTTTTAACTGATGTCGCTCACTTTCATTTACCCACACATCAGGCAGACTATGAATAAATAAAATAAAAATATTCAAAAAATATCAACTTTTTTTCTTACCATAAAATTATGTGGTAAACTAGTACATATGAAGTTTTTAGAGAAATCTGCACATTTCACTGGTTAAAAAGCATCTTCACTGGAGTGAGTAAAAGACAGCCAATCTTTACACATTATACTTCAATGTTTTTCAAGTTCTCAGAGTAAAATATACTAAACAGAATTTAGATTGTTCTGGAATACTACTAAATCAAACATACAAATAATGGCACCACATTCTCCATTTTAACAAGTTGAAATGAAAACGGGTAGCAGAGAAAAAAAAAAAATCAGTCTTTGAAAAGACGTTACTTTACCAGGCATCAAATTCTTTGATGCTGTCAAAAAAGATAAGTAAAGGCTGAAATACTGACTGCAGGCACTGAACTTCATTACACTAAATTGCTTGTTCCAAGTTCAAACTTTTCAATGTCAAAATGCTCCAACTTTGCTGCAGTTAATTGTTTGATTATCTTCTGAGGAAATACTGGCAGTCACCAAAAAATATTTTGGCTAATTCTTGTTGTGAGATGGAATAAAATGACTACACATTAAAGGGAATTGTTGATTCAGTGCCACTTGCAGTGAAACTTGGGGAAGAGAGCTGGAGATAACATACACAATTGATCTGTATTTTGTACTTTAATTCTCTGAAACCAAACACTCCTACTTCAGAGTGGCTTACTGCATTTTTGCTTCTTTTACTGAAAGCACGTAGGTTTTTTTAAGGGCCTGATGAGGTTTTCAAGTAACACATCATTAAGAGAGGCACTGGACTTGCAGAAGTCATCAGTGTCTTACTGAAAACATGCTTTCCTACCTCCTTCCAAAAAGTTAGCATTGACCAAGGCTGTGCAGAACATAAAAGCAACCTACTTTACTCCTACTACTGCGGGAAAAAACAAAACAAAAAAGACATCCTGCCCCCTCCCCCAAAAAACTAATCCAACAACACCCTAAGGTTATTTTCAGCCCAAATAAAGTCGTCTTTTTTTTTTTTTTTAACATGACCTAGGTGCTAAAAATTAATTTCAGGTTGGGGAAGAGTTTAAATTTGTAATTAAGAATTACAACATTTTGAAATAAGTTTCAAACTGAAACCCAACATTTAAGACTATCTAAATGAAACAGTCCTTTCTCTGACCAAAGTTATATGCGATATCAGACTTTTACAAATTATTAAACTGAAACACTATTTTTCCAAAGTTAGCTGTAACTCAAATTCCATTTTTTGGGTAAGCTATAAAAAAAAATAAATTAAACAAGAGAACCTCTATCCTAGCAGGAAAAAGAGTTTGTCCAGTGATACTTCTCACTTTTCAGATGAAGGTGGAAAAAAAAAAAAAAGAGGTGCGGAGGGAAGAACCCACCCAGTAGACAATCTGTACATCTACTACGGTTTGATATGGATCATGAAAGGTGAAAAAACATAAGGCTTTTCTTTTTTAAAGCCAAAATAATTTTTCTGACAAGCAACACTTGGAAAACAATTTTAATAGAAGCTATATACTAAAGATGCAAAATGATACAAACAGCAAATAAAGTTTTTCACATGCAAAGACTATTTGAAACATAAAGACAATCAGTAAGCTAAGAAGTACTAGCACAAAGAATAAACTCCTGCCCTAAACCCAATAATTTTAAAGTTATAAGCCTCTTGTATAAAAAATGGGTTAGATTAATATTTACCTTTCCTGAAAAAATACTTAATGAACAGATAACCTGAAGCAGTTTAACAGCTTCTCAAGATGACTCAGCGTAGAAAAAGTTAAGATGGTTATTACTAGCTTCATCTGAAAGGCCGATGAACAGCTTAGAACAACAGAAAGTAATCAACATGACTACGTTCAACTCTAAAGTGTGAGTACATTCACTGTGTAAAACAGATGGATGACATGAGCCATGACACCTTGCATTTGCTTTTCTTAACTGTAATAAACAACATGAAATTGAAGCTACCGAATAATACTTCAACACTACATCATTCAGCACAGGAAATATACCCTTTACCTAACCAACAAAAATGCAAGAAATATCAATGTATACCCCATTATTTCTTTGACCTGAACAACCAAATCTACATTCTATCAGGGATGTCTTAACATTCGAATAATTGTCTTCTCCAATGCAGAGACTCTAATATTGTATTCATCTTCATGAGCAAAACAGTCATTTGACTCTCTATTAGCAAAAAAGTACTCTGATTTTTTCATGTTCCCTGAGTGTCATATGATTTTTTTAATGCTTTTTCTCTTAAAAATGCAATTGTCTCTATGTGTAATATTTCAATAAGAATAATTTCAGAATGCTATTAAATGTAGTATTACCAGCTGTCTCAAAAGGAAGTAAAATGTTCTAGTAAAAGGTGTAGTTTTTTTGGCTACTCTCTCCCAAGCTGAAATGAAACTTGCAGTCTACAAGTGCAGCAATGAGCAGCAAAAGCTACACACACTTTTAAAATTGCCCCAAAATGCCAAACATTGCTGCAGATAACTTAGCAGCAACCTTAGTCCTCTGCAAAGAAAAGTTATCAAATACACTGCCAAGTTCACACTACTGCACATGACTTATTTAGGACACTACAAAACTGAACAATTTAAACCACTTCATCAAAGCAAAGCTAAATTTCTGTTACGATAAGGCTTTGCATCACCATCCCACTCAACCACTCAAAAGTAGCACCAAATCTAAGAGATCCCCTTCTTTTAAAAGTAGTTAATTGCATGAACTATGACTATTTCATCTGAAACTTAAGATATCCTTACCTAATGAATTCTAGCAATTTAGAGATATCTTCCTGGTAAAACCGAAGTTCCTTTTAAGAACGAACCTCTAAACCTGCATGTCCTACCTTGTTATGCAGCTATTCGTCTTAGTGAGAACTAAATATCCCAGTAACTTCATCTGTATGCAGGAATATGGATCCAGGAATAGGTATGCAGGAGCATGGATCCAAGAAATAAATTCTATTACAATTATTCTTACCTTTAAAAGGAAATGTAATGACCTCAAAACTTGCAGAAAACACAGAGCAAGCAGCTCCTAAAACTACTCTGCCTACTGCTCTCCTACAGCATAGTGGAAACTAAACATTGATTCTACTTTTTCATATAATTAAGATCAAAATATTTACATATAAATTACTTTGTCTCAGAAGAAAGAGATGACATCAAAGTAGATAAATTATTTCTAAAGCACACTTAACTGCTTCACATGTCCCAAGCCTACCCAAGGTCAGTACCTTTGTTCTGCATTATACACAAGCCTCCTCATTTGGAACAAGGTAGAACTTTGAAAAACCAAGAGTAAAAAGCAGCCAAACGTGCCAGAAGAGTATTCTAGGCTTCAGTGGGAGAATCCAAAGCAGCAGCAATATGAGATAGATACCTTAAAGAGCCAGCTGTGGTTATTATGCTGTTAAATTGTAGCACCTAGGCAAAGATTCTTGTAGTTCTACTGTTACACTGATGATTGTACATTTTTCAGTACCTAAAAGTATTTTAGGATCAGGATAAATCAGTGGGTAGAACAAAGTTACCTCAGTGATAAATTTCCTTATGTTTATGGCTGGCAAAACCAACCTGAACTCCCCATTCAATAATTAGAGAACCTTATGAATTAATACCCATAGTGACAAAATGCATCAAAAATACAGCTTCAAATTTACCTGAACAGGTATCAGAGTCTAAAGACTAGAAAGCTACAGTAAAACTCAATTAAAACACTGATTATTATTTTTTTAAACTTCTCATTTTTTTAAAAGCATTTAAAAAAACCATTAATTTTTATTTAAATATTAAAGGGCATGACATAATGACAGTTCATTTACCCCACTGTAAATCCTTCCCCATTTAAAATCTGTATCATATCACTAGCAATATACTCACATGTCCTCTGGTGTCCAATGAAGCAAGAGTTTTATTTTTCCAGAATCTTCTTTCCTTTTAGCTATTACCTAATAATAATTACATAAATTATAATTAAAACCAAATTTGCAGTTTTTTGCTCAAAAACTGTTGTTCTTTGCATTCAACTGGACATTCATAAAAGGCCAACTGTTCACTCTCTGAAAGTTGTATTAATTCTATATATAGTTAAAATGTACATGTCACTACTCAAATCATTCTTGTCAAGATTTAATATTTTTCTTGCCGAGGTCTAATATGGTTCAAATTTTTAAGCAACTACTTCTAAAGCTCTGAAGAACATATATTCCTCTACAAATATGCTCATGTTGTTCCACAAGACATCTCTAAAAGATGTGAGAAAATGATGCAGCTTATAGTTTAATTATAACGTGGCATAAAAATAAAATTTTCTCTTACAAATGCTTGGACGTCTGTACACATCACATTGTAGAACTTCCTTGGTAAACCTTACTCATTCCTTTTCAATACCTAAACCAAGTACTGAATGACAGGATGACAGAGGCTACTTGGAAGAACTCAGAAGCTTACAGAGATTGTTTAATGCATACATAACAGGGACCCTTAACCGTGTAGAGAATGCACTTGATACTAATTCTTATATGAATGACAAAGCAAAAGACATGTCAAAGACCTGTCACAATTGATGGAGTTTAAACTAAACATATGTACTCCACTAGTAAGATCCCAGGCAAGAACTGAGAACTCCTTTCTCATACTAGCTCACAGTAGACCAGCAGTGTCATGGTTTGAACTCAGCCAGTAGCCAATCACCACACAGCCAGTCACTTATTTCCTGATGCCCCAGGGAAATAGGGGAGAGACAAAAAAAAAAAAAAAAAAAAAAAAAAAAGAGAGAATTTGTAGGTTGAATAAAAAAAAAAAAAACACAACACCCAAGCTTAGTAAAACTAACAAAACAACAATAACAACAGTAAGTGCAAATGGGCAACATATAACTCAGTTGCTCATCTGAATTGTATGTTACCAGCTACACTGCTGGTAACCAGTACACAGCCCACCCCCAGCAGCAATCCCGACCGCACCGAGGATGCCACTGCAGCAATCAGAAAAGGGAACTGAGAGAGCACGTGTTTCCTTTATACACTGAGCATGACATCACATGATACGGAACACTCCAATGATTGAGTCAGGCCTGGCTCTCCAGCTGTGCTCCCTCTCAGGCCAAGGAAAGCTAACTCTATCCTGGCCAAAACCAGGACAGTCTCCACCCTTATTCTATAACACTGACATCATGCTCAGGTCCCAAATACATTCTAAGGAATCACCATCCCTTTCCCGGGTCTCACAGATACCATTCCCTTAGCCTATGGGCTATCCTTCCAAAATGTCTACTGAGTTCATTTAGTCCGTAACTTTGGGTTCCATCTGTCATGACAGTCTTTAAGGCTGGAGGAGTGAGGTAGAGTTGGCTCAGTTGGTGGAGCAGGAGGCTTTGGATGTGTCAAGGAGGATGTTGCGGGGCACCAACTCCAATAACAGGGTTGACAGTTGAACTAATTGGCTATTTTCACCTGAAATCAAATCCCCTTGAGGCACGCATCGGATTTCTCCATCCTTCTGAATTACCCACCAATTGCACACAGATCCTTGGGCAAAAGTAATCCCATGCATGGGTTGACCTTTACGCAATGCAGGAGTAACGTAGGCTGTCTTCTCCAGCATATTTTTAAGGCACACCAATGCACTCTGCTGCCAGAGGGATGAAGAAAAATGCTTTAGCAATATCAATCGTGTACCACTTGGCCACCTTCGACTCTAGTTCTAGCATGTCTGGCACAGCAGCACTCAGCAATGGCATGACTTCATTCAGGCCATGATAGTCCACTGTCAATCTCCACCCTCCATTAGACTTTCGCGCTGGACATACGGGGTTGTTAAAGGGGGAGAGCATCTTGCTGATGACTCCTTGGCACTCTAGCTGACGAATCAGTTTATGGATAGGGATTAGAGAGTCTCAATTGGTGAGGTATTGCCGTCGGTGCACTGTTGTAGTGGCAATTGGCACCTGTTGTTTTTCATCCCTCAGCAATTCCACAACAGAAGGATCCTCTGATAGACCAGGTAACACAGAGAGCTGTTTAATTCCTACTTTTCCAAGGCAGCTATACCAGAAGCCCATCAATACCATTTTGGGTCCTTAAAATACCCTCTCTAGAAATAGTCTATACCAAGAATACATGGAGATTCTGGGCCAGTCACAATGGGGTGTTTTCCCCACTCTTTTCCAGTTAGGCTCACCTCAGCCTCCACTACAGTCAGCTGTTGAGACCCCTCTGTCACTCCTGAAATACAAATGGGTTCTGCCCCTTTAAAAATTGATGGCATTAGGGTGCATTGAGCACCAGTGTCCACTAGAGCCTTATACTGCTGGGGGTCAGATGTGCCAGGCCATCGAATCCACACGGACCAATAAACTCGGTTGTCCCTGTCCTCCGCCTGGCTGGAGGCAGGGCCCCTCTAATGTTGGTCATAATACCCGCTAATGACAAATGGGTTAGTGTGGTGTGCATGGGTTTCAGTCTCATCTTCGTCACCCACTTCTTGTGAATACAAATCAGAAGTTCTTCTCATAGGAACGTGAGCAAAGTCAACCCTTCTGCTCTGTTTGGGCACTTGATTATTGTAAACCAGAGCAGAATTTCTCCTAAAACAACCCCATTTTGTAGTTGCTCTTCCTTCCAACTCACGTACCTGCTCTTCTAGGAGGTAGGTAGGTTCTCCATCCCATTTCTTCATGTCTTCTCCATGATCATGCAGGCGATGCCACAGGTTCCCCTGTGGTGTGTACCGGTTCTCTTGACTAGAGAAACAACTGCTCCTAATAGCCGAGATCCTAGTCTGTGCATATGGGGAGTAGGACACGTCCTCTTTAAATTGCTGGAATTCTTGAAATAATTTCTCCACAGCTGCAACAAGAGGGGAAGAGAAACTTTCTTCATATTGTCATAGTCAGCAAGCCAGTTCATCCACTGTTGGTCTCTCTTCGTCTCTCCAGTTCATTACTGCTAATGCACTGGCATATGATGATGGTGTGCTCTATACAAACTTCCTCCACATGGGATGGGTTCACTGGACTTCATCTGGATCTGTGGGAGCTGTGCATTGTCTGGGTCATAGTAACCTGTCTCCCGCACAGCTAGCTCCCTCAGGTATTGAATACCTCTTTCCATAGTGGTCCACTTATCTGGTTGACATACAAAATCTTCCTTGAAGGGATACCTCTCCCTCACACTTGACAGGAGTTGCCTCCAGAGATTGAGATTTTGTGTCTTCTTTCCAATTGCTTTGTCGATGACCCCTTCCCTAGACAGGGATCCCAGCTGCCTGGCCTCCCTACCCCTCTAGTTCCACACTACCGGCCCTGCTATCCCAGCACCAGAGCAGGTAGGTAACAAGTTGCTCACCTGGATGGCAGCTGAAATCTTTTCTTATATCTCACAACTCACTCGGGAAAAAAGATCGGGTGACTATCACTAGCTCTGCCTTCTGCTCCTGTCCTCGTGATGGGCCTGGTTCATGGTCACCCTGTACACCACAAGGGGATTTTCTTGTGTATTACGTCTTATGTATGGGAGCAACTGACACCATCATGGGTTGATCCTCTGGTTCCACTGCAGTGTCTGTCCTCGGGGTTGTAGTGACTGCAGTTTCTATTGTGGACTTTGGAGTGGTTGCAATGTCTGTTATTCTGTTACCAGATCCAGAGACTTTCTCTTCCTTTTGAGGGTGCTGAACAGTTTAATAGCACTCGGTAGAGATGGGCTAGGCCCCTGCATGTTGCAGTGAGCTGTGACTCTCTGGAATTACCCGGGTGACAACACACTTTTTCAAAGAGTTTACTAGTTCTTCAGAATTCTGCACCTGTTCAGGAGTGAAGTTCCAATACACTGGAGGTGCCCACTGTTCTAGGTACTTGTCCACGTTACTCCACACCCCCAGCCACTCATAACTGTCCAACCTTGGGGTAGATCTCCAGCTGATACTCTTAAATAGCTGCTTAACCCTGAACAAAACCTGAACCACATGCAGGAACAGACTGGCTCCTAGCAGTAAGACAACCATGTAATGTCAAGATTCCAACAATATTTGAAATTCTTGAAATTCTTAAATACAAATAAATAGCCCTAGGATCAACGACTGTATCATGTCACAGATCATGATCACATAGTACAGAAAAACCAAAATCTTAACCCAACTCTAATGGGTGGTGAGCAGCAGTATGGGGACTATGTACAATAAATAAGGTGATAAAATCTTAAGAAGCCAAGCAATTGACATTATGACCCAATCTGTTGTTATCTCAAAACTTTGTGCCCCACACTGGGTGTTGAAAAGACTGTCCTGGTTTGAACTCAGCCAGTAGCCAATCACCATGCAGCTAGTCATTTATTTCTCCACCCCCAGGGGAAATAGGGGAGGGACAAAAAAATTTTTTAAAAATTCCTAGGTTGAATAAAAAAAACCCAGTTTAGTAATAGTAACAAAACTGTAAGTCCAAACGGGCAATACACAATGCAGTTGCTCATCACCCAGTGACCGGCATGCAGCCTGCCTCCAGCAGCAATCCTGACTGCAATAAAGATCCTGCTGTGCCGATCAGAAAATGGAAATGAGAGAGCACGTGTCTCCTTCATATACTGAGCATGATGTCACGTGATATGGAATACTCCAATGACTGATCGGGCCCAGCCCTCCAGCTGTGCTCCCTCTCAGGCCAAGGAAAGTTAACTTTATCCTGGCTGAAATCAGGACAAGCACATAAGATACTCTCACAGAGAAATGAGAAATGAAGTTTTTAGGTGCAGCACCCTGAAAGCTAGACTTCTACCTTTAGCCAAGATTAAGTTAGAAATACACACACGGAAAGTATAAAAAATAATTCTGTTCAAGCAGGTACAAATATATTCTTAAACATTACCATTCAGAAGGTATCCCAAAAATTTACAGTATCCAGAAAAACAGGGAAAACCCATTTGCTTCCTCTTCTACTGATTTACCCACAGCT